CCTCCGTGACACTCATGAAATTACTTTAAGGCTCAATGTCTAATATCCCCTTGTGCTCCAATTCAACAAATACAGGACAGAGAAGAAGAAATATGGAAGCAAAGAGCATTTATTTCTTTGGAGACCCACTTTATTGCCATCCACTATTGATAAACTTCTTATTTGGAATTAAATCATTTCTTCCAAAATAATACAAAAATACATAAGATACTTAAATGAACAAAAATGTATCTTAAATTAACTGCTCAAGGGGACCACATTATAAAAAAAGTAAGATGCGGGCCAAGCCCGGCAAGTCTCTTTTTGTTGAGTTTAATAAATAAAAAAATGTCATTGGCTCAAACAAAAAAAAAATGTCCCACCTCATTTGGATACAAAAAGTATATTTATACTAGTATAAACTCTTCGCTGTCGACTTTTTACTTGAAGACATCCACATGCATGGTAATCTCTGGTGGGCCACATAACATGATGTGGAGGGTTGGATTTGGCCCACAAGCCTTGAGTTTGCCATGCGTGATGTACAGTATCTACTGAAACATCATTCGACAAACAGAGCCAACAGAAAAAACTTCATGGTCATGAATACATATTATGTAAATGTGAAAATCGCATGATGGTAATTTGATGTTCATGCAGTGGAAATTGTTCTGTGACACTGGAAATGCTCAAGGGTTAACGACTTGCAGCTTTCAATTTGCATATTTGACTGAGTGTGACAAAGTGAAGGCAGCGCAGACCCAAAAGAGTTAACGGCTGGTGTGTTTCTTCGGAACTTGAAACATTTTAATTAGATACGTCCAAGGAGTCCGCTAACACTTTAGCGGGAAATTCAACAGAAATCATCTTTAAAGATTACATTTGTTTGAAAGGATAACAAATTAATTTGTTGTAAAGTCTCGGAGGCAGAGCTGATGCATTTTTACCTAAAAATATAAAGACACCAAAGAACCAAATTATCAGAGTCAAAAATCAATAGACAGAATTGATTGACACATAGCCTGTTGCTGCTCATTGACCTCACAATTTAGTCGAGACACGACCAAATTATCAGAGTCAAAAATCAATAGAAAAAACCTCAGCACCTCTGAAAGTTTCGGATTCTCAATTTCTCCACAATGGTTGTATTTATTAAGAGACTGCAGCCTTGGGGCTCACACAAATGCGTGTTGACTACACACAGCAACTTATTCTTTTGAGATTAAACCAACAGTTTATACTTTCAGAAATATAATTTATTCATGACAAGCAATATAAAAATCATTTCTGTGTATTTAAGAGTATTCTTAGATTAAATAAAATATAAAGTAAATTCACCTAACTCAAATTCATTGTAACATAGAATCAAAGAGTCAAAGGTCAACCAGTCCATCTCACATTTGAGACTTCACAGAATTCTGGTCTGATCCCATTCCTCATGACTTCTCTGGTCCAATATGAAAATGTAATGACCAGCATGAGCACTGAGCAGACGACGCATGTCCAAACAAAATGGTTGTCTGCTTTCGAAAGGGCCAAAATATGTGAACTACAGAGATGACAGCATGTGGGAGGTGGTCTACAGAGTTAGCCTGGTGGGCTGGATGGCTGCTCCGTGTGCACTTTGGAAATACAAGCGTGAAGATAAAAACAAGTGCACTTTGGAAATACAAGCGTGAAGATGATAAAAACAATTTAAATTCAAATCTATCTATCTATCGAAGGGTTGTACGTCTAAGAGGAAAGTGGTTTTAAATTACTACACTGAAATATCACTGTCCGTGAATTAGAAAAATGTAGCGAGTTGTTACCATTTTATGTGTCGTCCATTGTTGGAGCATCGTTGCGTGCTTGTCAGTGCCGGGTGTAATGGGAGAACAACAAAGTAAGAATGCCAGTCAGTGTGTGAATCACTGCCATCCAACAACATTCACGACAACAAACCCATCTTGAATACGTATCTATTTATGTTTGAGTGAATGATGGATGGTGTGGAGTCCGTAGTCGTGATTTAATATAATGTCATGTAAACACCAGGGCTGTCAAACAATTAAAACTTAATCTGCTTTATAGAGTTGGTGGATTTCAGTCATTACTACGAATCTCGACAGATCCATTTGATAATTGTCTCAGTCAGCTGGTCAGATGTAGACTCACAGGTCTGAGACTTGAAGTTGTAACTGATACGTCCACTGGTCGTTGAAATGACATTTTAAGCATGAGGTGATTGGGTGAAATGAAAACAAAAATTCCACACAAATGAACACATTTATCAACTGTGTATCCGAGTAACAATAAGTGGATGGATGGTGGGAACACGGCGTGATTCATTTTGCCCATTTTGCATTAAAGTTTCCTAAAAGGTTCATCTGACTCATTTTACAATTGAATCAAAGCGATTAACGTGTTTATCCATTCATGGCTGCAGCTACAGTAATGGCAACCTCTTCGTTTAGAGAAGTATTTACTTCTAAATAGCATCAACTAAAATTGTTTTTTTTCCATTTCCGATAAGGGCAAAATAAAAAATGTTCTTTTCCCTTAATGCTACAAAGTGCAACTTTAAGAAAAACTCGTGCTATTTTTTCTTCATTCCTAATATGAAAGGTTTCTTTATTTCTTTATCCTTGAAACCTTGAGAGACACAGCATAGTAAGTGACAAGCAGATAATGAAGGTGCCTTTATTTTACTTTTTTCCACAAGGAGTTTAATATTGCGCCATCATGTGCCTTTATGTGCTTGACAAACTCCACAGGAGCCAGAAGTTGAATTGTCACTGGTGCGGTTTACTGAAGTGTACCGACAAACTACACACGGTGTTTATCTCTACTGCATCCTGGGATTAAAGAAAAAGGAGAGGACTCTTCTGACAGGAAGGTACAGTATTGAAGGGAGGGAATTAATTAAATCTACTCACTGCTCTGTGCTACTTTTACATTACTCTGTTGATGTTGATGAATGTGCACACACTGTGGCCAATGAGTTCAGTAAAATGGGTTTTCTCCTCCTTTCTCCAGAAAAGCCTGGCTCAGAGGAGTGAACGACTTCTTCACGCGGTGCCGCTCGCCTCTTGTCTCTCATTAAAAGCAATCACGACCCATGCTCGGCTTAAATGGCCTCTTCTCGAGTAGTCGGTGTTTGCTTTGGTAAACAAATAATTTTGCACAAATACAAACAATTTAAAAACCTGCTGGTGTGTGACACTCGGGGCATGAGCACACTCTTTGTTCTGCACACAAACAACACACCCCAGTTGTAATTTCTAGGTAAACAACACTCTTGTAAGTTCAAACCTTGATTCTCCAACACTAGGACAATGTAAAGTGAAGCTTCTTTAACAGACGGCCCGTGTCGAATGCACTCGATACATCGCTGCATTTACATTTGAAAACACATGCGCTGTTATTGTTGAATGTTAAATGGAAAGTGTCACTAGGACAGCATTTAATTCAAAGCTGAAACATCACCAAGTGTATACATCTGTACCACCATGAACCACTCTGATACTAATGCAGTACTTCTCAAATACTGGGGCGAGGTGAGGTGCCGGGCGGTGGGGTGCAGTGGTTGGCGCGAGGTGAGGTGCCGGGCGGTGGGGTGGTTGGCGGTCTTCCAATGGAACATGGCACGCTGAATATTAGTGTACCACTGCTGTAATACTTGAATGATAACAAGCCTCCAGTCACTAGGTGGCAGCAACTCATAGAGTGGTGTGACAGAAAATACTTAAGATCCTCTATCCTTTGAGTCTAATGTAACAACTTCTTGATCTTCCTCAGGGTCTTCTCCTTTCACTTATGGTTTCCAAAGCCACAATATTTCCTTGGCAATATTCAGGTCACACTGAAATAAGAATCTAAACACTGACGGCTACAACATGTTCCATGACTTACTCATCCTTCATTCTGAATGAGATTCATTTACCTGCAGCAGTTTGTCATGGCAGTCAGTCTGTCATTTTTATCTTTATCACTGCCACGATCATATCTATAGTCTGTCTTCATCTTGCCATCATTACTCTTATCACAAACTCTGCAGTCCGTTCGACACTAACCATGTCATCTTGAGCATTTCTTCTGGATACCAAGTCCCAGTGGAGTCCAACTCCTGCTTCAAACTGATCTATCTACCAAGCAGCTTACCATTGTTTCACTTTCAGCATACATTTTCTGCACCAACATCACATGCTTCTTTGCCACTCCTGACATCTTCATTTCTTGCAACACAATCCGATTATTGCCGCATTCTGCCCGTCTTAGTTTCACAGTGAATATTTTCACACCAACTCTGTTCATCCAAAATCCTGTATTTCTTTTTCCACTTTGTTATTAGATAAAACAGATAGGTAAATATGATATGTACATGTAAACATACACTGCCTCTATCTAACATTTAACAGAATAGAACGGTGACAACTTTTGTGTTTAGTTTTCAAAACCTTAAGAAAAGTACAGAGAGGATCTTCCTCTGCCTGGTTCGAAGAGCTATTAAGGGGCAGAATCCATTAGAGTGGCGCTTGCTCTGGATTATCAGGGGAGACACTTGATCCGGAACTTAAAATTGTGCACTCAATTCTAATCTGGCTAGTAAAGATGCGCTACCCGGAAAATCCTGCCAAGCTGAGGTTTTTGATTCCGCCGGGGCCACTAAAGCTACAAAGATACTTAAAAGGCGCTTTAGATAAGCATGTCCACTGAATGGAGCTTCTTTTTCAATTTAAATTAAGTCACAGGGCAGGTAATAGTACTTTAGTGGTGACCACTGCCAAACAAATAATTCCATACAAATGAGACTGTAGAAAAGCAGCTTCATTGGAAACCTTTGTTGTCAATTTAAATTAAACGAATGCTGCTCAATTATCATAAAACATTTTTTAACACACATAATTTCAGATGATGAAATTCAAATTTCAACTTTCACATTAACAGCTGCCAGTAATTGTCCTCTGGGTTCAACAGGATTATCACTCCCATCTATGTCTCACCAGAACACACTTCAAACAGCCTCTTAAATGTCTTACCTGAAAGGCCACTGATGATAGACAGGAGGAGAAATGGTTTCCATGGTGACCCCATACTTAAAGAAGAGGGTCCCTTCTGCATGTGTGTTAGCAGATCTGCCTCTTCATTAAAGCTGCGTCTACAGAGAAGAAAGAATGTATTAAAGGCTGGGGAGAAACGTGAGTTTTAGTTCTGCTTATGAAATACCTCATCAAAAAAACTCTTCCCTGGATCCCACACATTCTCTAATTTTAGACCAACTCATTTATAAGTATCATCTAAAGTGCTGATATCCTACATGTAATGTTGTTTCTATCACCAATGTTCTCTCCTCACTTATGAAACGTTTTGGTTTGAATTGAAAAATAAATTACTCACCAATATTCAGGTACAAAAAAAATATGCTTATAAAGTCATGGTGAATTTGCAACTGTAGAAGAATGTGCACAAAGTCAATAAAAGTGTATTTAAATTTATAAGAACAAAGTATGTTGATATATATATATATTTGAAATAAAATGGAACTTGACAACTAATATTTTGGTTATGATTCATTAGATAATAATAACAATAATAATAATTATTATTATAACGATTATTATTGTTATAATATTCATAATAATAATAGTTGTTGTTGTTATGATTATTATTTTTCATAATAGTTAAAAACTGTGACTATGATGTACCATTACATAGAGAATTTGACCACATGTCATCATTAATGGCTGGTTTTGTTTCACTACTGACAATCACAGACACTTATTCACACCAGTTTAATCCAAATACACTGAGTAAATTATTTTCTGGAAGTGACTTAATTGCAGTCGCTTCTGTGAATACATTTTGTCCTGAACAAATACAATGCGCACGTTTGGCTCAAACCTTAATATTCCCCAGGCAAATCCAGAAATTTGCATGAGGATTTAAACACACCAAGGTGACCCAAAAAACAACATGAGTTGGAAAGTGATGCAGATTAGAATCACCTTGACATCACCGACTTATTTGTCAGCTGGAGCACATCACCATACTTTCAGCTCACAGCTTCGGCCGAACAACATATTTATTTTAAGGATATACTGTGAAGGAGTTACAAACATTTACTGATAATGTTCACACCAAGCAGCACCTCAGTATGTGTGTTTTACCAATATGCCGTGATAGCTTTCAGGCGTTACAGAGCAGCGTGCGGTTAATATGTTCTATATTCTTTGAGTAATTCAGCATTAGCCGCAAAACTGTCTGTAGTTAGCTACATAAAAAAGTGTTTTAAAAGGAAGGAAATTATGGCAAAGAAAGAAATGATATTTAGTGTGATCAAATAAAAGGAAAGTATAATGAAAAAACATTTTGAGAGCTGCACTGAAAAAAAAGCTTAGTTATGAGAATAAAATAAAGTATAAAATAAAGAATAAAAAATCAATACTTTACGGCAGTGTTTCTTAACCATAGGGCCAGGGGCCAAACTTGGGCTAGGATCGTCACCTAGAGGGCTGCAAAAAAAAAAAAGTTTTGCAGCTGTGAGCCACAGGACTACATAGGTTATCCCCTGGGCCACTTTGTACAAAACAAAAATGGAGCCAAAATGGTTAAAAACCTTTGCTCCACAGGGTTTTTTTTTTCCATACAAGACATTGATCCCAAATTGTCTGCATGAAGAAAAGACATTTTCTTCCCACTAGCCACACAGCTAAACAGCTGGATGGAATATGTACTCTTGTAATCCATAGTCTTTAATTGCGTTAATTGAAACACATTAGCAGAAGCCTCATCGACTTCCATGCTGTTTCTTGAGGTTTAGTTTTAACAAAGCGACAGGAATGTGAAATACACGGGAGCACGCTGTACATTCTTCATTATAGCCTTGTGTAAGGTTTACGCCTTTAGAGTTTGTTTTTCCTTTGTGACGTTCTTGTCAAACAAAAGCAGCTATTGGTTATTTTGATATAACCACACAGCTTCAGCACCTTTGTTTGTCATCCTTTGAAAGTGCAATTGGTGGATTTGAAAATTAGGCTATCCATAATTAAGTAGAATGGGGAAAAAAACAATTTAGAGAAGATGTTCAGATAAACACACTAATTAATTCCCTTCCTTTTAATGATGTATGTTGGCTTCGTGTTTTCTTGTTTATTTGCTTCACTGTTCACATTTATGTGCTTGACTCTCAACCTAACCATCATTTTCACAAACAAATAAACAAAAATAGAAAAAAAAATAAACAACACAATAATAAATTGAATCTTCATACACAGTATATCTAGGTGTATTTTCTTCTATCTTTATTATGATAGTAATTTAACATTGAATGTTGATCGCCTTGAGAACGATGTATAAATGCTTCTTTTAGAAACAATTTTTAATAACCTTCCACTCTCTCAGCTCCTTGCATTCCATTTCTGAAGTGGGCAGATTGTGATAGAATGTGTGCAGAAACCTACGACGCCTAGGCAACAAATTACCTCTGAGGAGAAGTTTCTCTGACTTTGACTGTCAAACTCTGCAGTGACATGCCTGTTAGGCAAACCAACACTCAGAATAGCCTCCTGTCACCAGGATAGGTCAGAACTTCAGAGGAAAAAAAAAACATGGCTTCTTCTCATCATGGCTTATCTTCTGATTCTGTTCTGTATATACTGTGTTTGAACCAAGCATAAAGAGCTAATTAGCTAAGAGTCAGCTAATATACATATGATTGGCAATATAGTGAAGACCACATACGGGTCATTATAAACCCTTTTCTGTTTGAAAAGACTGGAAAGACTTCACCATTTAGAACGAAAACAAAACGTTCCCATGTTCCCAAAGTTTAGGCAGAGTTCTGTTCTCTGGCAGCACAGCTCATTAACAATTCAATCAGTTACACTGCTCTGCCATCAGTCTTATTGCATGCTGGGTAGTTTAATGTTTTGTCTTACAAAGAGAAGTACACCAGACAGAAATGCTCTCATTGTGCATGCACAGGCACAGTGCAAATTGAATGGCTTTATTTGGAGCACAGAGAAAATGAGTACTTAGAAAATAACTGTTCCAAATGTGCCTCGTGTTGAGGAGTCTGCACTGACTATGACAAAGCTGTGTCAAATATCAAACACATGTAGGCGCTACTGTACATCCCAACTAGTAATGCAGTAAACGTGGTAACACCGATAAACAAAATGTGTAATTTATATGTACTCTATGTGTGTATCATTCAGGTAAAGTATATTGTGTCTACAGTCAACCTGTATTTATCGTCGATTCATCGATTGAGAGAACACATATCCCTTATGTATTACTTGAGTAGAATAAGTCTACAATGATGTAACATAAAGCTTAAGCATAAAGGGGTTTCAAACTCCTGGCCTGGGGCCAGTTTCTGCCACCAAACCTCTAAAAACCGTCCCGTCTAAATGTCAATAATATATATGTTTATGTTTCATGTATATATGCATCATGTATATATAAATCATCATGCATATACATACTTATATATATTTATTTCATTAATGTATTTAATTTTCCAAATCTAGGGGGAAATTGTTTTAGTTTTCAAGCTTTTTGGTTAACGAACGGCCTTCAGGAACGAGGTTCGAAAACCGAAATTCCACTGTACACACATGCCATGCATACTAAGTTCAGCGTAGGAAATGAAATGGCCTTAGACAAAGCATTACCATTGGAAAGTCATTGAATGAAAATGATCAATTTATATAAAAAGGAAACTTTAATTGAAATGAAAAATGTTATTTGGTAAAAGCGCTGAGAGTGATTTTATTCGTCAAAGCATTCCATTCCTGGGGCGGAGCCTGTGTCTCTCTGAAGCAAACAGAAATGTTGTCCGTGGCCTGACCTTGTAACTGTTCCGGCTGTGAGCAGCAAACCAGCAGAACAGAACCTTGTTTGTGTCACACGTCTATCGAAGCGATTAGGAAGGAAGATAAATGCAACATCAGACACTGAGGGTACTTTGTGTGGTCTTCCCACACAGCTGACCCCTACCATCCTACAGCTCACTTCATGAATAGCAGAGGTGGGGTCAGAGGTCAGAGTAGGACTCATTACATGTCCTCACATTTGTAGCTCAAAAGGACAAATGTAAGACCGACAAACCGAACAGGCCGTAGTGTTCTGTGGACGGCTGTATTTGTCACCTCTCACAGGCACTGCTGTAGTGCATTAGTCCAATTTGTTAGGACTCTCAATCGTGCTGTTTTCTAGTTCATGTCCGAACGTCGACCACTGAATGTGCCCCTGCTAATTGGCACAAAAGCTTTAGCACAATAACCACTAGTCAAAAATGTAATTATGGAAGACAATTCTAATTATTGTGAAAAAAAACAAAAAAACAATATAAAAACGGTCTATTGGATGATCACAGTCCTGAACATCCATCCATCTTCTACCATTTCATCCTTTTCAGGGGGACAGGGGGCAGCAGTCAACCACAGTGATTGGGCAAACACCCAGGACAGTTCAGCTGTCCATCACAGGGACAAACAACCATTTACACGTCCACTCATACGTCTCACTTAACCCCAATTAACCCCATCTGCATTTTTTATGACTGTGGGCGGAAAATGTTATGGATAAAACAAAATGTCTTCACAAACTGGAAAATTGCAAACGGCAAACAGAAAGACTGTTATCACTAATGTTGAACCATGGTTTATTGTAAGGCAACGACACAGACCACTCCACCATCTGTTCTAACACTGGTATCAAAAGAGATCATTTTACTGTACAGCAAGATTTACAACAATGTCTTTAGCTACAGTGTCGAGATCAACATAAATCGCTGGGATAATATCCCTTCAAAAATGGGAAATTTCTAAATGAAGTAGTTCGATCGATGAAAAACTTTTACTAAAACACGTCATGTGCAATGCACTGGAGGCCATTCATACATTAGTTTTTTCTTATATGAAAATAAGATAAAAAAAATTACAAAAAGGTAACACAAAATTAAATAAAAAAAAAAGATCATATTTGACCACCCATTACAGTGTCTCCTTATAGTCTCCATTTGATACCTGCTGCATTAACCCTAAAACAGAATTCTAAAATGAAATCCTCGAAATCCTACAGTGTTTAGACTGAATTTGCAGACATGCAGGAAACTAGCACTAAAATTATTAACATGTTTCCACAACAACATGA